AATAAGTTCTATTGCATAAATGTTCTTAACCTACAAGAATAACTGTTTTTGAATAAACCATAAAATAAAATTTTTTAGCTTTTCAATCATTATTTTTAAAATCCATCTTACAACCTAAAATCATGGAGAAACACTTTGCTTTTTTTATTTCGTTATGAAATTATCAARTTTGTATGCTATAATTGAAAATAATTTGAATTAGTTTTTAATCGAATACCATTTTATAAAAAACATTAATTGCTTTAAAGAATGATGATCAATTAATGACAGAAAAAAATCTATGAAATGCAACTTTTTAAGGTTATGTCAGCTTGAAAAAGCAGAATAAAGCAAACGATTTAGTTTATACCGTGATATGAATCTAATAATTTTATGCATTTTGTGGAATTATTAAACCCTTATCTAACAATCAGCCTAATCCAAATTATTTCACGAAAAATCTAACAATTAATCAGATTTGACARAACGAATTAATGAACGGGACGAAAATGAGAAAATATATTGCCATTATTTGCAAAGAGTTGTTAAATTTCTTTTCGGTTTTCGCGAGTTTATTGAATGAGCGCAGCGTTTTGCAAAACATATGTAATATTTTACGACAAAGCTTGTCAAAATTAATTGAACTTCAATTTAAATAATTACCTTATCCAAGCAAAATTTTCGATTACGAAGTATACGTTAGTATTAATATAATATTTACGCATTTCGAAAAGGATCTGCACATACATTTATATGTATGAGAGTGAAAAAAAATTATATTTTTTATTTATTTTGTACGTACAAATTCGGACGCATTATTATGAAATAGGGTTGTAAGATGGCAAACTATCATGGTGGGATGGACTGGGTAAGACAGCACACACTAGGACACACACATTTAGGCTTACAAATAAATAAGTTCAAATAAAAATTTAAACAATTCAAAAAGGCAAATAAATATAATTAACAACAAAATAAAATATTTTCAAATTTTTAAGGAAAATGTTGCCGTCATGTGTTTGAATTCAGCAGCAACACATTGTTGTGAAAACGCGCCCTAAATCAGCTTAATTGGCTTTGCTCGTGCAATAAAAATTGAAAACACAAGATTCATTTGAATTCTACGCGCACAGTATATGTACATATGTATGTGTATAACTAAGATTTTTTAAATAAAATTTTGTAGCTTCATTGAAATTAATAATTGATTTTTCGTTTGTTAGATACATCGGCAACAAGGATCGTGTGTATGTATAAATACTGGAGGATAATAGTTATGGGCATTATTATTATTTTTTCTTCTCTTTTCTTGGGTAAAAAAAATGTTTGCAATATTTATTGTTGTTGTGCGACTGTTACAATGGTAGTGGAAATAGAAATGAAAATGAGATATTTACAAATGATTGTTTGACGTCCGTCGTTCGGTTAAAGTCGAAGCTGTGCAATTAACAGTCTGTGCATAAATATTACTGGGATTGGGACTGAGAAAGTAATGCATATGAAATTTGAGATGAAAAATGTTTAMAACTAGTCGACGAAAATGTCCAGCGCCCGGAACACTTCATATGTAAAGTAATGAATTAAACTTAGAAAATTCGGACGAAAATCGAACAATGGTCATAATATTACTTCTTTTTCYTTGTATTGGTGTAGACACCGCTWATGCGGTTATAGACGCGAAAGCCTCGGATGAGAGACTATGATTCAAAGTTAAATTCTGCAAAACATATTGGACTTCTATCAATTCTGCAACGATCTACTGTTGAATAATTCGTATTTCGATTAGCTGATAATTATTTTTTTAGATGTCATAATCTCTGTTAGCTATTTTGACTTTTTGTTTATTTTGAAACTAGTATGAGACTGAATGAAATATAATAATTGGCACTTACTAAAACATTAATACATAAAAATGGCAGACTGGTCGGATCTGCACTAGTTTGGAACTAGTTTATTAAATTAGTGGGTATAACTTTAACAATTAGTTAGAGTATATATATATGTGTTCGTAAGGTGGCACAAACAGTAAATGTCGGAGCAAATGCTTTCAATATTAATTTTTTTTGTCAGAGTACAAAAGTTGTCGTTTAGTCAAATAAAAGTTAAATAGGAAGAAAAACGAAACACAGAAATACATATCAGATATTATGGCTGTCTCTTATACACATCTAGATGTGTATAAGAGACGTGTTTTGTGAAGCACAAACTTGTTTGTTGTTGG